GAAGAACAGGTGCCCCATTTGGACCCCCCTCTGGGACAGAACAGAGCAAGCCGGTGACGTCACTGGTCTCTACTCCGTATACCTTGCGGCTCGGAAGAGGCCCAGGTCCCAGTGGGAGGCAGGGCATGGAGACCTGTCTGGAGTCTTCAGGATTTTCCACCTTCCTCTCTGGCGCCTGTGGATGACCCGGTTCTACCCCAAAGCCAGTGCGACCCGAGGGCCCTGGCTCTGCGGCCTGCGGGCATGGACCCAGGTGCCGTGGGCAGGGAGGACGAGGTGCGGCCGTGGAGAAGAGACCCGGATGAGCCGTGGGGAGCACAGCCCTAGAGCTGTCCCCGAGCCTCACAGTGGGGACAGGGAGGAGGGGGCGGTTGCAACAGGAAGACTGGCCAGAGCACAGCCCGTGGCTCAGGTCGACCTCCACGCTCGGGACAATGCTCCAGAGTCCTGAGAAAGGAGCGTGTACAGGAGTGGTCCTTTCGCTGTCGGTTCTAGCTCTTGCACCGCAGCCAGTGGCCGCCATTGGAACAGCCTGTGTCATACTGGGGACTGGGCAGAAGAGTGACTCACCTGGCCGGCTCAGCCCTGGGGGATCCCAGCGTAGCAGGGGAGAGGACCGGCCCGTGCCCGGCCCTGGTGTTGTGTCTGGGAGGCCCGGACGTGATGGAGGTCGGAGTGTCCAGGTGCAGTGGGACAGTGTCCCTGGGAGGTGGTGCCGGGCTAAGGTGGTTGGCCACCCAAAGAGAACACCTGGTGGAGGTGGGGGGAGGCCCAGGCCAGAGGCCACAAGTATGGAACTGACGGCCACTGGGATGGGGAGGGCGGGGTGGCGGCCCAGAGGCATCAGAACAGTGGCCGAGAGTGCCATGGTGCAGAGAAAGGCCCGGGAGAAAAGCAGGGGAAGGGTCCGCTCCGTGTTGGATCCGGGAGGTGAGCAGAGACCCCGGACACGGTCGGGCCTGGAGTTGGGACCCCATGGGTGCTTGGAGTTGGACGTCGTCAATTTGGCGGCTGTTGACACATGGACCCTAGCAAGGCCGCGGCCAGTGGCGTGGCCCAGGAAGGGCTGGAGGTGACAGGAGATGCAAGAGGGGGTGACGTCACGGGCTGGGGAGGCCACTGAGGGGGAGGAAGACTAAATAAGGAGACCCGAGACGTTGCAGGTGAGTCCGGTGGGGGGCTGCTGGCCAGACTCCTGAGCCGGAAGAAGCCTCCGACGCTTTCCCTGGGGACATTTCATTTCAAGGGCTGGGCGACCCTGTCACTGTGTCTGCCGGGAAGCTCTTGAGAGGAAAATCGGGGGGCGGGGGACTGTTGTGTTTGCAGGACAGCATCCGTGGTCCGAGGCAAACCAGGCATCTGGCCACCTAAGGGACAGTGCCAGGCGTCCCTGCACTGGCCAGCACCCTTCGTCCCCCAAAGTACCAATCGAATGAGACAAAGCCAAAGTGACACTTAGCGGTCTTGCATGTCCCTCCTGCACTGCGCCCAGACGCCGAACTGCGATTGGCCAGCGCCTGTCAACAGCCAACCATATGGATCAGGCCACCCCCTTAGCCCAGACCTGACGCCGGGTAGCCCTCTCCCTGCCCCTCCCCGCTCACACACGTGTGCAGCGCTCACGCTCTCAAAATAAACATCTTTTAAAAAGTTAAAGGGTGTCAGATGGTGGTAAGGCTGTGTGAGGAGTAGGGAGAGGCCTTGCTGAGGAGGCAGGGGGTGCAGGTGTGAGGTATGTGGGTATTTAGGGGAAAGTTTTGCCGGCAGAGAGGACAGCAAGGGCAAAGGCCCTGAGGTGAGAACACGGGAAAACTCGGGGACCCCAGAGTGGCCAGGGTGGAGGGGGCAGGTGCCGTGAGGCCTCACTACTTGGCCTCTTTGCTGGGGTGAAGGAAGGAGCCCTGGGGGGACATCAGCCAGAGATGCACCCTGAGCAAAAGGCAGCGTGTGGGCAAAGGCTGCCTGGGCCCAGAATTCGGGGGCTCAGCGTGGATGAAGGGCAGAGACCATGGAGTGGGTTTTGTAGTTTTATATTAATGGCGAATGGAACATGAGGTGCTCTTTTTTTTTTTTTTAATTTCATTTTTAAAAATTTACCTCCAAATTAGCATAGGGTGCAAAAATGTTTTCAGGAGTAGATTCCTTAATGCCACTTCCCCATTTTGCCCCTCCCCCTTCCCACACCCCCTCCAGCAACCCTCAGTTTGTTCTCCATATTTATGAGTCTCTTCTGGTTTGTCCCCCTCCCTGTTTTTGTATTCTTTGTTTCCCTTCCCTTATGTTCAGCTGTTTTCTCTCTTAAAGTCCTCATATGAGTGAAGTCATAGGATTTTTGTCTTTCTCTGACTATGAGGTGCTCTTTTAAGACAACTTGTTTTTTGGGGACACCTGAGTGGCTCAGTTGGTTAAATGTATGGCTTTGTCTCAGGTCATGATCTCACAGTTCATGAGTTCGAGCCCTGCGTCGGGCTCTGTGCTGACAGCTCAGAGCCTGGAGCCTGCTTCGGATTCTGTGTCTTCCTCTCTCACTCAGCCTCTCTCCCACTTGTGCTCGCTCTCTCACTCTCTCTCTCTCAAAAATAAACAAAAAAAAAAACCTTGTTTTTTCTTAATTGAAAAAATAACACATTTGGGGCTCCTGGATGGCTCCATGGATGGAGAGTGGGACTCTTGATCTCAGGGTTGTGAGTTCGAGCCCCATGTTGGGTGTAGAGCTTACTTTAAAAATAGATTAAAAATTAATAATACGTTCAGTCAGCACAGAAGTGTGATGGCACAGACAGAACTGCCTTCCCACATTCTCCAGACAAAACCCTGGTACCGCAGTGTGTTTATTTATTTTACTTTTTTTTTTAAGATTTTATTTTTAAAGGGTTCCTGGGTGGCTCAGTTGGTTAAGCATCCAGCTCTTGGTTTGGGCTCGGGTCATGATCTCATGGTTTGTGAGTTCGAGCCCCATGTTGGGCTCTTTGGTGAAAGCAAGGAGCCTGCTTGGGATTCTCTCTCTCTGCCTCCCTCATTCACTCTCTCAAAATAAGTAAGCTCAGGGCGCCTGAGGGGATCAATCAGTTAAGTGTCCAACTTCGGCTCAGGTCATGATCGCGTGGTTCGTGGGTCCAAGACCCACATCGGAGCTGGAGCCTGCTTCTGTAATTTTTTAAATCTTTATTTTTGAAAGAGAGAGAGCAGGGGAGAGGCAGAGAGACAGGGAGACACAGAATCTGAAGCAGGCTCCTAGTTGTCAGCACAGAGCCCGACGCGGGGCTCGAACTCACAAACCACGAGATCCTGACCTGAGCCGAAGTCGGACGCTCAACCGACTGAGCCACCCAGGCGCCCCAATCCTCATCATTTCTTTTAATGTCAGCCTATTTCTCTATCTCGTTGTGAATGTTCTTGGGTGTTATTTTGTAATTTTGATATTCAGATTGATAGGAAAGGAGTGAGAACAGGACAGAGAGTTCCTTCGTGTTCCTCACACAGATGCTGGCATTCCACCTGTCCATGTTATTCTGAACTGATCGCGAGTGAGTGCGGCACGATGCAGCTTTACCCCTGGTTCTTTCTCTGTGTATTTCTCTAAAACAAGGATATTCACACAAGCCCCCCAATAGGTGAGTCCCGCTTCTCTCTCTCTCTCTCTCTCTCTCTCTCTGCCCCTCCTGGGATTCTCTCTCTCTCTCTCTCTGCCCCTAGCTCACTTGTGCACTCTCTTTCTCTCTCTCTCTCTCAAAAATCAATCAATCAATAAATAATAAAAACAAGGATATTCTCTTACATAGTCAGACACTAACATTGACCCAGTGCCATGATCTGAACTACAGACCTGATTCGATGTAGCCAATTGTCCTAACAGTCCGTGTTGTAGATGCTTCTTTCTTTGATGCCTGGTCCACTGACCTCGAGATGCCTCTACTTGTCTTAACCTGGTAGTGCTTTCCTTCTCTTTCCTGACCTCGACACTTTTGAAGGTCGGTCCCATCGGGGGTGGTCTCACTTCTTTATGATTAGACCAGGCTTATGTATCCTTGGTAAGATACACAGATGAACTGTTCCATTTCAGTGCTCCCTCTGGGGTGCACGATGGCAGTCTGTCTGTCTTATTGTGGGTGAGGCGGCCTTAGTTCAGATGGGAGCTGCCTGCTTCTCTACTGTAGAGTTACTGTGCATTTTGTAACCCACAACTATCTTGAGGGAGACATTTAAAAAACATTTTTTTTAAGTTTATTTATTTGAAGACCCAGGGAGAGTGGAAGAGGGGCAGAGAGAGAGAATCCCAGGCAGGTTCTGTGCTGTCAGTGCGGAGCCCGATGAGGGGCTCGAACTCATGAACTGTGAGATCATGACCTGAGCAGAAACCAAGAGTCAGATCCCTAACGAACTGAGCCACCCAGGCACCCCACTGAGGGAGACATTTGGGGATTAAGTGAATACCCGTTTCTCAAAGTTCGGCCCAATTGTGCCCAGTTGTGCAAACATGATCGCCGTGCTGTTTGACGGTGAGTTTTTATATTCTCCTCATTCCTTCAACAATAATCGGGATCCTTTTCTAAGAAAGACAAGTCCCTTTCCACCCATTTATTCAGCTATTTATATCAGGATGGACTCGTGGATATTTATTTGATTCTATGAGTCATAAACTGGTAGCTGCTGTTTTGTTGCTCGGACTGTTTTAGCTTCGGCCCTCAGGAGACTATCATGGTGCCTCCTGTGCCCTCTGACGTCCCATGTCATTGCCTCAGCTTTTTCTGACTTTCTGACACCAGGAGGGGCTCCAGGCTCAGCCTGACCGGCAACTTTCACGGAGACAGGTATTTAGCAACCAAGATCTGGGTGCTGGTTGTGCTCACTGCCTCCGGGCTCTTGGTGCTCCTCGGCCTTCCCAGCACGGGGCTAGGAGATGTACATATGAGTCCGTGCACACACACCTACCGTCTTCTCCCTATCTAGCTAACTGTGTAAATACGTGGTAGAAAACCGTGAGTTTTATCGATGCCTCTGATTCCAACCCAGCACCAACAGCCCTGCCTCCCCTTTCCTTCCTGTAACTTCTTTCTGTGATGAGGGGGAACCTGCTCATTGTTTGCTTCTATGATGCCAGTCCTCTACCTTAGTTTCAGAACTGCCGCTCCATACCCCACCCCCACGAGACACATTTCCTGACTAGGGTACGGTATTGAGTTCTGTTATTTCCGTGTTGAGCCATAGAGTATCCAGTGAAAGTACCAGCTTCCAGAGTCGCTCAGGCGAGTCCTTTTCTTCTCTGCCCCTTTGGTGTAATTTGTACTATAGTTAGGTTCATTTGTTACCGTTGGTGTCCCACTGTGGCTACCCCACGTATGCTGGTTGACTTTTTTTTTGGCATTTTACATATATTAGTTGTTATGGAATTATACACATTTGTGTAATGTTCATAACTGTTTATCTGACTTACAGTAATTCACTGTTATTAATGACTCACTCTGAGATCAACTGAGCATTGGGGGAAAATAGTGATAAGTTATATGTCATTAAAGATTTTAATGCAGGGGGGCGCCTGGGTGGCTCAGTCGGTTAAGCGTGCGACTTCAGCTCAGGTCACAATCTCGCGGTCCGTGAGTTCGAGCCCCGTGTCGGGCTCTGGGCTGATGGCTCGGAGCCTGGAGCCTGCTTCCGATTCTGTGTCTCCCTCTCTCTCTGCCCCTCCCCCGTTCATGCTCTGTCTCTCTCTGTCTCAAAAATAAATAAACGTTAAAAAAAATTAAAAAAAAAGATTTTAATGCAGAAATAAAACCTTCAGAGTACCAAGAAATAAACTCATTAATTAATTAATTATTATTTCATTTTTCTTAAGTAGGCTACACAGCATGGAGCCCGACATGGGACTTGATCTCACAACCCTGAGTTCAAGACCTGAGCTGAGATCAAGAGTCAACGCTCAGCTGACTGAGCCACCCAGGCACCCCTCAATTCATTAATTTAAAACATATCAATTTGTGGGGCGCCTATGTGACTCAGTTGGTTGAGCATCCAACTTCGGCTCAGGTCATGATCTCCTAGTTCGTGGGTTCAAGCCCCACATCAGGCTCTGTGCTGACAGCTCGGAGCCTGGAGCCTGCTTCGGATCCTGTGTCTCCCTCGCTCTCTCTGCCCCTCCCCCGCTCAAGCTCTTTTCCCATCTCGCTCTCAAAAAATGAATAAACAACAAAAAAATGTTTAAACGTACCAACTTGTCTGTGATCATTTAGCCTACGTTAGGCAGGGTCGATCTTCATGTAACCTATGCAAGTTGTGAAAAGAAACTAGAAAATGTTTGGCATGTTAACGTGAGCGCACCAGGTTTTTTGATGAACATATCCATCATTAACAAGCCATTCAAAGTACCATTAATGATTTCATAAACTTACCATTTCTTTTTGATGTTGTTGTTCTTGTCAAATATATAAACATCCAAGTGTTCATACTTAAGAAAAAAACATCTACCCAAATGTCCATCGACTGATGAATGGATAAAGTGTGATATATATATATATA